TAAAAATTTATGGTTGAGAGGGGAGTGGAGAAAATATAGCTCAATAAAGACAATTTAAAAAAATTATGGTTCACATATATAATAACTGGTTGAAATTACATTTGTATTGATTATTCAGTAAGTTGTCTTATGTTGCATTACTTTGAGGCCTCAGGGGTTTTAAGACTACACCTCATGATTTGGCCACTAAACTTTATCTCTTGATAACCTTTGAGAGAATACCATAAGAAGGTTGGTGGTGACATTTTGTGGATAAGGCCAGAATCAAGGAAGACTGGTTTGAGATAACAGACTGGAGAATGTATTACAGAAATGAAGAGAGCTGTTGATATTCTCTAGTTATCTCTGTATATACACCCCTCTCGGTCTAGAGAGTTTAACCAATTTCAGTTTTAAGAGAATAATTGCTGAACGCCATTATATGAAACTGTAAATTAGTTTTACTAAAATCTGTGTTTTCCTCCTCCTCCCTCTTAGGACATTTGCTACAAGATCCCATTGCACCCACCAACTCCACCTGCCAACACTATGTCTGCAAAACTTGTAAAGGCAAGAAAATGATGATGAAACCTTCATGTAGCTGGTGCAAAGACTATGAGCAGTTTGAGGAAAACAAGCAGTTAAGCATCCTCGTGAACTGCTACAAGAAACTGTGTGAATATATAACCCAGACAGCACTGGCGCGGGATATAATAGAAGCAGTTGACTGTTCTTCTGATATTTTAGCTTTGCTTAATGACGGATCATTGTTTTGTGAGGAGACAGAGAAACCTTCCGATTCATCCTTCACTCTGTGTTTGACACATTCCCCTTTACCTTCAACCTCAGAGCCCACAGCTGATCCTCAAGCTAGTTTATCTCCAATGTCTGAAAGCACCCTCAGCATTGCTATCGGCAGTTCTGTTATCAATGGTTTGCCCACTTACAATGGGCTTTCAATAGATAGATTTGGTATAAATATCCCTTCACCTGAACATCCAAATACAATTGACGTGTGTAATACTGTTGATATAAAAACTGAGGATCTGTCTGACAGCCTCCCCCCTGTCTGTGACCCAGTAGCCACTGACTTATGCTCCACAGGTATTGATATCTGTAGTTTCAGTGAAGACATAAAACCTGGTGACTCGCTTTTGCTGAGTGTTGAGGAAGTACTCCGGAGTTTAGAAACTGTTTCAAATACAGAGGTTTGCTGTCCTAATTTGCAGCCAAACTTGGAAGCCACTGTATCTAATGGACCTTTTTTGCAGCTTTCTTCCCAGTCTCTTAGCCATAATGTTTTCATGTCTACCAGCCCTGCACTTCATGGGTTATCATGTACAGCAGCAACTCCGAAGGTAGCAAAGTTGAATCGCAAAAGATCCAGATCTGAAAGCGACAGTGAGAAAGTTCAGCCACTTCCAATTTCTACCATTATCCGAGGCCCAACACTGGGAGCATCTGCTCCGGTGACAGTGAAGCGGGAAAGCAAGATCTCTCTTCAGCCTATAGCAACTGTTCCCAATGGAGGCACGACACCCAAGATCAGTAAAACTGTACTTTTATCTACTAAAAGCATGAAAAAGAGTCACGAACATGGATCCAAGAAATCCCACTCTAAATCTAAGCCAGGTATTCTTAAAAAAGACAAAACAGTAAAGGAAAAGATTGCTAGTCATCATTTTATGCCAGGAAGTCCTACCAAGACTGTGTACAAAAAGCCCCAGGAAAAGAAAGGATGTAAATGTGGGCGTGCTACTCAAAATCCAAGTGTTCTTACATGCCGCGGCCAACGCTGCCCTTGCTACTCTAACCGGAAAGCCTGCTTAGATTGTATATGTCGTGGCTGCCAAAACTCCTATATGGCCAATGGGGAGAAGAAGCTGGAGGCATTTGCGGTGCCAGAAAAGGCCTTGGAGCAGACCAGGCTCACTTTGGGCATTAACGTGACTAGCATTGCTGTGCGTAATGCAAGTACCAGCACCAGTGTAATTAATGTCACAGGGTCCCCAGTAACGACATTTTTAGCTGCCAGTACACATGATGATAAAAGTTTGGATGAAGCTATAGATATGAGATTCGACTGTTAAATCAGTGGGTCTTGAAACCTACCCCTGGTAGGAAATAGCTACAGTTTTACGGCAGCTATGGTTCTGTTGGTTTAACTTGCCGGAGCTCCTGCATATAGATCACTTGTATCAAGTGTTTTCATTGCTAAGTTATATGTGTTAGTGTCGGGGAAATAGTTTGCAGATAATGGAGGAGTAACCCTACAACTATATGTTCTTAGTTCTTACAGAACCTCATAGTTTGAGAACAAATGCTGATGCAACTGATTTATACAAAATGAACTTTGGCAAGGAAAATAACAATAACCTCATTGTTTATGGTCATGCTTTGTGCATAATCAAAGTTGATGATTAAATGTAAGGAAGTGGTATCCAGTCGGCCCATAACGATTGTGCTAATTTTTTTGTGGAAAAGTAGCCATTAGTTTATCAGGAGACCTTGTGCTGCCTTCAGATGCTGCAGTGATGTTTCTCCTGGTGAAAAGCTGATGTGTCCAGCTCAACCTTTGTGCTGACAATACCATTTCTGATCATGAAAATTGGCTACTGGCGTGTATGTAGCAGTTCTTAAATCAGCAGTATTATGAAAGAAAATTTCCCCCTCATTAGAATGTTTTAAGAAATCTGTCTTTTAAAAAGTGAACAAATAAATTCTGTCAGACCACAAATGTTAAGCTGTTTATGCTTTAAATATTTGAGTTCAGCCCCCTTTCTAGTTATGACTCACTTCTATGAGAAAATCCTAAGTCCTTTCACTTTGAGCAATGTTCTATTTGATAAAGTGAAGAGCTGTTTTATTCTGAACATAATTGAATTTATATAGTTCATGACATAATTTTTAAAAATATAAAAAGAATTTAAAAATTGGGTTTTATTTAAAATAATTTTGGAATAATGCCCTAAATGTTCCCAGATTTATGCATTATACTTATTGCCATTGATGACTTCTTTGATTTTTATTTTCTGTTTATTTGCCACAGGCTTTACCTTGAATATACTCCTTTGTTTTTTTCTTTTAAAGGGTGCTGTTCATAATGAAGGCTTCTTTATCAAGGCCTTAATAAAAGATGCCTTTGATGAAGCCTGTGCATTTAGGTAGGTGTAAAACTCGGAGGATTTTCTTTAGAATGCTCTTTTGCATGTAAAGCACAACTGTGTTTGAGTTTTAATGTACTTCTTCCTGTTAACTTCATGGGGAAGACAGACATTCTGTTGAAGGGAAGTCTAGTCAGTTGCTTGAAAGAGCACAGCCCAGGTAAACAAGGACTGACTAGGTATAGAGAGAACCTTGTGATTTCAGAGTCGCTGCTTTGGCAGTGCTTATTTTAAGAGAAATACTGCTAGGGAAGTTCCAGTTCCTACTGCATTCACCGTCTGGTGAGATCTGAGTGTTGGAGTTGTTTTGATTTGGCACACAGCATGTTCAATGATGGTTCCTCGCCTCATAAAGAAACGGAGAGAATCCTTTGGACACAGAGCAGATGACACCTCCTGTTTTGTAGTGTATTCTGGTGTCATTTTCTGTGAATGTGGTCAGGTAGTCGTTTTGTTGTTGTCATTGGGCTTTTTGTAAAAAAAAAAAAACAAAAAAAAAACAAAAAAAATTTTTTGGTCTCTTGGTGGGGCGGGGGTGGGCTAAAGCCATAGGAAGAAAAATGTGATGTATGTGTCCAGTATGTACGATTTTGTTTTTGTTTTGCAAGAAGAGTTGAACTATTTTTGATAACAAGAGTAAATGGTGGAAAATGCTTCTTAGTTGTCTTGTCTTTATTTGCTTACCAAATTTTGGAATTTATTTAAATCCTTTAAGTGGTAGCAGTGTCTTATGAACCATGTATTTACCTAAAGTTTGTAACAGTTTGTGTTGGACCAGAACCCCTGCTATATAATCATGTAAATCTGTTTTTTATTCACTAATGATCACTGCAAAAATGACTAGAAATGAGACTGTACACATGGAAAATTAGGCTTTATTTTGCAGATCTCCCAAACTTTCCTAAAATGATCTTAAAATTCATGGAGTACCTCAGTACTCCCCAAATTTGATAATCTAGCTTTGTATTTTGATGCATGGGAGGTTGGCAATAGACAGAAGTGGAAATGAGTATTTGAGGACCTTGATTGTGTTGTGTAATATTGCCAATGATGAATTCAGGTTGTTTTTAGCACAAGTTTCTCTTTTTTATGCTGGTAATCTCACTGCCACATTTTTGGAAACCTGTATCACACCTTGAGTCTATCAATAAATGATAGTTTTCTAATTCTATGTTGTAGAATACTGAGGAGTTTGGGATAGCATGTTTTTGAATTGTCTGTATTAGCTTGGGGAAGCGTACTTACAGTGCCTTGGTTTTATGTTTTTCTTTATAACATGGTTTTTAAAAGTAATGCAGACAAATGCTGACTTAACTAAGGATTTATTGAAGGAACTGGCTATATATCAGGATATGATGGATATCAGGATAAACAAGACTTCATTTAAATTGGTATATCTTGAATACTCTATTCTTGTCATTACAGTTTTTCTTTTTGGTTAGATTCATTGAATGTATTTTTATCATGAAGTGCTAGGATGTAAAGGGTCTGTCCACAATAACCCTACTGAAAAGTAAAAATGTTAAATAAATGAGTAGAATTTCCTCATAGGTAACAATGCTTTTAGGATATAAAGCAAGACTGTAGGATCTGAACCTAATCTTGATTTTGTTTTAGATACCCAGTAACTTGCTGTGATACAGCTTTTTAATATATGGATGAGGCTTAAGTTCTGTTTGGTCCTGGAGAACCCTTTTATCTCAGAGGAGAATGCTTCTCAGTGAGATAGTACTCAAGACTTTTTTTAAATAGTATTCCCAAAGCTTCAGAGAGTTATTCTTGCAAAAATTCAACTTCGCTTACAGGCATAAAAATGAATTGTATCTAAAACCAAAAATGTGTAGTGAACACAGTTCATACATTTGACAGATTTATTTTGTTTGGTGAAAAGGGGAAAACAAGTCATGCACCATCTCTAGTCAAACACTTTCAAAGCTGAGCAAATAATAGCTGAATTAGAATTTTGGTATTTTTTTCTTTAACATTTTGAACAATATAGTAACAAGATACAGGGAACTATACAGAATTTTATTAGTTTTATTATCTTGGTAATTATGCTATGAAACCACCCTCCTTTTATTAATCTGTGGGTCACAACCCCTTGGGGAGGGTCACATATCAGGTATCCTACATATCAGATATTTATATTATGATTCATAATAGAAAAATTACAGTTGTGAAGAAGCAACAAAAATAACTTTATGGTTGGGGGTCACCACAACATAAGGGAAAGTCGCAGCAATAGGAAGGTTGAGAACCAGTGATTTGGATGATAATTTATCTCTTCCAAGGTCTCGGGTTTTCTCACAACTTGATACTTCCAGTTTGGTAATAAGGTAATTCCTGAAAGTATAATTCATGTAAGTAACCCATATTAAATAATGCGTCTTGAATTGTGTGGTGTTGATGGCTCTGGTGGAAGTAGAAAGAAGAGTTGCAGTAAGGGAGAAAGAAGGTAGGAGGCTGAAGGCAGAGTGTCTTCTTAGCATGTGGTAGTTCTAGGTTTTGATTCCCAGCATCACAGATAAGTACAAGTTACATTTCAGTGCAGCTAGTGAGAGCTAGCTCAGCCCTATGCTCACAGCTGTTAAGGGATATTATAAAATTGAATTTTATATTGTGCTTTTTGGTGAGTCTCAAATAGTTTAGAACATATAGCTAACAAAATCCTTTACATTGCCTTAAAAAACACAAGCATTATCATTTTTATCTGAAATTAAAAATAGTTGTTTTCCTTTCCTGCTAAAGATTGAATGGGACTGGCGATAAAATCACATAACTTTATAAGACAGGATTTCACTGTAGCCTAGGATGGCCTCAAACTTTGAGCTGTCAATCCTCCTTGCCTCAGTCTCCTCTGAGTGTTAGCATTATAGTAAACAAAATTTATCAGTGTGTTTAGGCTATTGTACATAGTGCATTCTCTCTCCTGCCTTAACTACCAAAATATCATGAGGTTTTAGGCATGTGCCACCACACTTCAAAAAAAATTTTTTTCCCCCAAATTTAGTCACTGTTGGGCTTTAATTATCTGGGTGAGCTATTAGTTTCAATAGTTACCAGTTTCTGTAGTGGTCATCTGGGAGATTAGTTGTGGTCATGAAGGTAAAAATAACCAGAGATATGGAGGATCTTGTGACAGGCAGGATTGCTAGGCTTGCTAACTTCTAGTTTAGTTGATGTACATTTCTTAATTTTTTTCCTCCACGTTTAGCCTACCATCATCCAAGGTTTGATTATTTCAGTGCTTGGCTTTTATACCAGCATAGAGAGAAAAGGGAGGTTATTCTGATTCTTTAAACAACTTTCAAAACAAAAAAAAGGGGTAGGGAAAGTTGATGACTTTGACAGACATGGATAATAAAAAGTTGCAGTGATTTTAGAGCTGTCCATCTTACTTTTAGTATTTCCCCCCCCAGCATGTAGGATAACAATAAGCACTGTAGGATTTGGCTGCACCGTGGCATATTTGATTTACCACTTAAGTAAAAAAGGTGAGAATCATTGTTTTCTTCCAAGTTTGGTGACAATGAGGAGGACGAAATATCTGGTGTAGTAGTTTCTTTTCCACACTTCTGGCTTACTCTAGTGTTCAAGGGAAAGAAATACGTATAGTGAGAAGTTTCCATGGTATGTCACATTCCTTAAGTCTTCAAGTAGGCCTGCTAGAAATGAAGATGGATCATCAACCAATCTGTAGATTAATTACAGATGTTATCTTAAGTGCCAGATCCTGTACTTTAAGGAGTTTTCTTGAGATTTTGTACAAGACCCTCAGATGCAGAGGCTGCTGAGCTTGCCAGCAGAGCTGGAAGGGCCTAGTGGTTAAAATACCTGAGACTGTAAAGTGACTAGCAGTTTGGCAGGTCATGGTGAAATTACATTAAACCAGGTAAGTTAAAGGTCCCTGAACTCCAGTACACATAAGTAGTCTCTGAGATGTTTGACAGTGCTTTTGTTACTTGGACAAAGTCAATTTTAGAGGCCCTTTTCCAACTTCCAGAACTTGTGACTCAAGTTTTCTGCAAGTGAAGTTTTCTAGGTTCGGTAGGAGCCTGAGGGACCCCAGGGAAGCTGGCCATCACCGAGGCAGCTTCTTTTTTGTGCAGAGAACTTGGACTTGTTTCCAAGAGAGCCTCTATACACTGAGGGGTGTAGAGTGCAGACTGCAGACTTTGGAAAGTGATGACAGTAAGGACTTCCAAGGAAGAGCTCTGCACAAGGTTTGCGACAAACTGGAGGGGTCTCCTGTGCTGAATTACTTAGAGCATTTTAGTTCCTAGTGCACTTGGAGCAATCAAAGCCTTTACAAAGCAGTGTGCAAACTAGAACATCTCTACACACCATCCTCCTGTGTAGATGTTGGCAACTACTCTTCATCCACTGACTGAAGCTTTCCACATTTCTCTGAAAGGCTTGACGTTACTATTTTATTACCCTTGTTTCCAAATTCAGAGGGAGACACCGGTTCATCTGCTTCATAATCTTCAAAGGAACTGAAAGGACAAAGCAAATGTAGTTGATTTTTTTTCTCTTGAAATATAAACATCTGGATACATACACGTCAATATAGCAATACAAAGATTTGGAAGATCAGCCTGATTAAAAATCACCTTTCATATAACTAACTGGCAGATTACCCACAGTGAGCTGTTCTGAGGAGGTCCCAGTCTGGAGAAGCCTCTACCTGCTCCCTAAAGCTCAAGTCCATGTTAGGATTTGTCAAAAGCAGAATTAGGAGTTTTAAGAGTGTTTTCACTGGTATTTCTACAGAGGGGAACTTTATCATTGACTGCTGTATTACAGCCTCCCTCCTTGGGCCCTGTTGATACATTTAAATGTGCAAGTGTATCTGCTACGGACTTCAAGTCTGCTTGTGGATTTTCCTCTTATTCTAATTCTCATTGTTCCCTTTAAGCTTTGAAATGCCATGACTCCCAGATTCAATATCTATCTCCTGTGAATGATGGTTGCCCCAAGGTAGTGAAGTATCCTGATACTAATTTGAGCCTAGAAAAATGTGATCATTGATTGAATTATGCCCCCCCCCCCTTATTTTGAGACAGGGTTTCTTTGTTTAACAGTCCTGGCTATCCTGGAACTCACTTTGTAGACCAGGCTGGCCTCGAACTCACTGAGATCCATCTGCCTCCACCTCCCAAGTACTGGGATGAAAGCTGTGCACCACCCAATGACTGCATTACGTTTTATGTTAACAATACTTAACTTCATTGGTATAGCCTTGTTATTTGGACCTTGTACATACTAGAGAATTGTTTTATCCTTGAGCCATATATCCAGCCCCCTAAATTGTTTTTTTACATTTATTTATGTGTATAAGTGTGACCTGCATTATGTAATGTATGTGTGCCCATGGAGAAGAGGGTATTGGATCCCCTGGAACTGGATTACAAATGGTTGTGAGCTGTCATGTGGGTGCCAGGTACTAAACTTGGGTTCCCTGCAAGGGCAACAAGAACACATAACCACTGAGCCACCTCTAGCACGTCCCTTCCCCCCCATCCAAAACGTTTTGAGTAGAGGATAGAGGGTAAAAAAAAAAAGCCTACCAAATGTTTGGAAAACTTCCCTGTGATTCTAGCTTGTGATGCTCAAGCTTGGTTACTGCAATTGGTTCCTGTTCTACTATTCTCCATCCTTGGCATCCACGGCAGTGGAATGTACTAGGTAAGGAAGCAATATGAAACTAGTATTGCTTTATGGGGCATGGAGTGGTATCAAAGTTAATTTTAGCAATGATAAGTGACAGGAAGACATTTTTCTTTCCTTGGTTCCTAACTTTCTGTGTGCAAGCTGCTAGTGTCTAAAATACTTAAGCATAGGTCTGAGCAAAAGATGTGTTTTCAGAGTTAAAGTCAGAAGTGACACCAATTCAGTAAGTTAGTTGAACTCACATTGCTGAGCTTGAACCAAATGCTAGGATACAATGTCATGGAATGAATGGAAGCAGCCTCCATGAGCTATGGTGGCCTGATGGAGGTCACTTGGTGGGTAAAGGATTAAAACATGGGTTATGGAGCCAAGATTCTAAATTCAGATTCTAATCTGTATCTGATTACTGTGTGACTTTGGACATGTTACCAAACCTCATCTTTTCTTGACTCATGAGCTTCCGACTACCAGGTAGGGGTGCTCAGAATCTGATACATCAGAAACTACCAAATGTAGCTCTTGTTTTCATAGAGAAGTACTAGAGCTTAGAGTATGATTGTGACACAAAACCCTATTGGGGGCAAGAATATTTGTGAAAAAAGCCAGCCTCTTCCCCCCAACACCATGCAAGCCAGGTATGGGGCACACTGAGTTCCAGGCCAGCCAGGTAAGGTTATGAAAAAAACTAAACCAAAAGGGATGGTTCAGTAACAATTGTTTTTGTTAGTGCTGTGGAAACCTCATTAGATAACACCTTTGACTCACCGCTGGGAGGATCCATCTCGTTAGTCCAGTCCAAGGATAGAACTAAGAAGCCAGCCATCTCATAGAATCACCCAACTTAAAACTGGTGCAGCTGAAGCCTGAACTACCTCTTTACCTCTTCAGCAGCACTGTGAAGCAGGCTGTGGACTAAACTGTTTGAACTTCTGGGCAACCGTGGTCTTTCCCATGTTTACCCACCACTTCACTTGTGCTGCTGAGCCTCCATAGATCTGGCTGCCTACTGGAGGGTGACCACATACTTAAGCCTGAACTTACTTTCCTGCTGATCTGTTTCTCCCTGTCAACAGTGAGCCAAGTACCACACCAAGTCAGAATCCCAATATCTCAATTATGTCCTTTTCCTTCCTCCCCTTTTTGAATTCAGCCAGTTGCTCAGCACACTATACCTAAGGACATAGTTGTTTTCCTGCTAGTGACTGGTTCAAGGCCCCTGCTTTCTTGTTTGAATAATGTTTTCTAGTGACTGACTTCTCTGGTCTCACTTCTGCATGGACCCTTTGCTGCTACTATGTCCAGATATCATGTTTGGGATGAGTTACAGCCTTGGGTTTATGCCACTGTGTCTTTCAGTTTCCTTTTTGTAGATTGTGTCATTTTGTTTATCTGAGATCACCGAAAAGATTCTCCAGGCTTCAGAGGCAGCTCATTGGTTATAGGTTTTACTACTCCTGCAGAGGACCTGACTTTGGTTCCCAGAACCATTTTGGTGGCTCCTGGCCACCTATAACTCCACCTACAGAAGATCTGATACCTTTGGGCTTTGGACTCCACAGGCACCTATCTGTGATCAGAGAGAGTCAGTGTCTGATCCAAAACTTAAAAAGAGCAGAGGCAGGTGGATTTGGAGACCAGCCTGATCTATACAGTGATGTCCAGGCCAGCCAGGGCTACATAGTGAGACCCTGTCTTGATTTAAAAAAAAAAAACAAAAACTGTTACTTAGCCAGGTGTGGTAGTGTTCATCTTTAATCCCAGTTCTCAGGAGGCAGAGGCAGGTGGTCAAGCCAGGACAGCCAGGGCTGTTTCACAGAGTAACCCTGTCTTGGACAGAACCAAAACCAAACCATTTACTTTATGAGGTGTTATCATTAAGCCATTTTTTTAGTTCTTTTTTAAAAAATATTTATTTTCAATTAATTTATTTATTAAAGTTTTCTGTCTCTTCCCCGCCACCGCCTCCCACTTCCCTCCCCTTCCCCCAATCAAGTCTCCCTCCCTCAGCAGCCCAAAGAGTTATCAGGGTTCCCTGCCCTGCGGGAAGTCCAAGGACCACCCACCTCCATCCAGGTCTAGTAAGGTGAACATCCAAACTGCCTAGGCTCCCACAAAGCCAGTACGTGCAGTAGGATCAAAAACCCATTGCCATTGTTCTTGGGTTCTCAGTAGTCCTCATTGTCCGCTATATGTATACAATATTCTGTCTGTGTGTATGCCTGCAGGCCAGAAGAGGGCACCAGACCTCATTACAGATGGTTGTGAGCCACCATGTGGTTGCTGGGATTGAACTCAGGACCTTTGGAAGAGCAGGCAATGCTCTTAACGGCTGAGCCATCTCTCCAGCCCCCTAGTTCTTTTATTATTATTATTATTATTATTATTGATTTTTATTGAGCTCTACATTTTTCTCTGCTCCCCTCCCTGCCTCTCCCCTCGTTAAGCCATTTTTGAATGAGCAGTGGAGTCAGGATAAAAGCTGGCCGGAGTACTCAAGAGTTCAGTATTCACTAGAAACAAGTATAAAGAGCTTTTTAGGGATATTGTTAGTACAAAAGTATGAAGACAGATAAAGTTCAATGCTTCTAGTAACACCCCTGATTTTAGAAACTAGCCTTCCTAAATAAGATTTCCCTCTCAAAAGAAAGTTTTGGGGCAGAAGTATTATGCTGGTTTTGCAAATTCCTGGGATGGAATCACTACCTAGAGTGAGCAGAGATGGTGCTGGCACATACAAAGGAGTGTATGTAGTTTCAGGTGTTAACTAGGAGTTGTGGTTTGAGCCAAATTTCTGAAATTCTGATTATAGAATATAAGGCTAGACTATTTCACTCAGGGCTTGCTGTGGGAAATCTTAAACATGGCGGGTACAAGTATGGACTAAAATGTCCACTAGTTCTTTACTGTGGAACCTTTTATAATCCAGAAGTAGAAGTATGAATTACAGGTTTACTTTCTTGAGACAGGGTCTCTCATGTAGCCCATGTAGCTTTAAACTCACTCAGGATCCTACTTTTATCCTCTGTCTTCTAAGTACTGGGATGGCAGGCAGGCGCTACTACACCCAGTTTACGCAATAATACTGTGGCTAGAACCTGGGGAGCTTTGTGCGTGAAAACAAGCACTCTACCAACTGCCCTAGCTCCCCACCCTACCTCCCCTTTGTTGAGACAGGTTCCTGCCATGTAGCTCTGGCTAGCCTGAAAGTCATGTAGACCGGGCTGGCCTTGGACTCACAAGAGCTTCACCTGCATAATCCTCTAGAGTGATGGAATTAAAGAGGTGTGCCATCACGTTTAGCTTATTTATTTTTTGATATATTTTCATTCTTTGAGAGTTTCATATATGCATACAACGTATTTTGATCATACTTAGCCCCAATTCTCCCACAACTCCTTTCATATCCATCCCACCTCCTAATTCCATGCCATTCATTCCATGTTCACACACACACTTTCTGTCTCTGTCTCTCTATGTTAGCCTATAATGGCTGAGCCATCGCTCCAGCTTTTTTTTTTTTTTGAATCAATCTGTGTTACCCTTATACTCATGGGTGTGGAGCCACCTGGTGGAGCATGGTCAACCAGAAGGCATGCCCTTAATGCCTCTAACTTAAAAGCCACCAATCAAGCTGGGCGGTAGTGGCACATGCCTTTAATCCCAGCACCCGGGAGGCAGAAGCAGGCAGATCTCTGTTAGTTTGAGGCCAGCCTGGTCTACAAGAGCTAGTTCCGGAACAGGCCCCAAAGCTACAGAGAAACCCTGTCTCCAAAAAAACAAAACAAAAAAAGCAAAAGAAAAAAAGCTATCAATCATCAATCAA